AGTTCTTGAGAAATATTTAAAAAACTTCTTGCTTATATATAAAATTTCTTTAAAAAAAAATTGATTTTTTTTAAAGAAATTTTATATATGTACAAGAATTTTTTAAGGATTTTTCAAGAACTACCAGGCTAATTTTAATATTTTTTACTAATATTAAATATATTTTAATAAGTTTTACAATTTTTGTTACAAGCCCAAGAGTGATTTATTTAGTAAAAAAATTTTAAATAGAAGTATTGTACTTTTGAACTTATAGTAAAATTTATATATATTTGTTTAGATGACTCACAATTTGTCTATTAACTAATTAATCATTATTATAAAAAACTTTTATATTTAAAAAAATTATTTAAAATTTAAATAACAAAAATATAATAAAAATAATAATAAAATATATTAATCAATTTTTTTTAATAATTACTTGTACTAACTATTTACTGAAAGCAAATTAAAGACTCAAAACTAGAAGTTAACAATAACTTGAAATTTTTTGATATGAACTATTATCAATGAAATCTTTAAACATGATATACTAGGAAGTAGGTATTTTGAATAATTTGTATAGAGATTAAATCTTAGTTCTTTTTTTTTAAATAGATTTCTTTGTATGTAAACTAAAAAGTTTCCAAAACCTATAAGTAGAAAGTAAGTTCAAATTTGTTTGAAAACAAAAGACTATAAAGAACTTTTAAAACAACACTTGCTGGTTAGAAACTTGCAAAACTATAATATTTTCTTGCTATTTCTTTTTTTTTATAAATTTTGATAAAAACTAGAAGATTTGGCTTATTCATTTTAAAAGATTAGTATTGTTTATTATTTTTATTTTTAAAAAGTTATGAGTTTTGATATGACGAATAGAGAACAAAACAAATTATGTATAAGAAAGAAGTTTTACTTTAAATTCTCAAAATAACGGGCAGGATGTTAATTTGAAAATCGCACCCTAAAAATAGTATAGGTAGTTTTGAAATAACACTCATGTATATCCTGAAATAACACACATCTAATAGTAAAGATAGTAAAATTTAAAAAAATGCTCTGGAACTAGGTTTGGTATTATGTAAATCTACTTTTGAGCTTTAACAAAAGTTGTTCTTCAGATCGAGATAGTTTTAATAGTATTAAGTTTATTAAAAACAATTTAGTAAATCATCCACAATAGCTCTCTAATATTTTGCAACTTATGTAAACAAAGATAGACAAATATTACAAAACTTCGAAAAGCCATTGCGGACAATATACTAGGCCATTTTTAATAAACTTTAATTAAAGCCTAAAAATAGATTTACTTAGCACTGAACCTAGTTTCAAAGCATTTTTATTTATTTACTTTTTATATAAAAATATATATAATTTTATATTTGTTTTAAAATAAAACCTATGTGTATATTTAAAATAATACACACATATTCAAAATAACATGCAGATACCTGTTATTTCAAGAATTTATGGTAATAAATCTCTAGATTAAGAATTGTAAGTAGTATATACTATGTTTAAATCAGATATAGCTATCAGATAACCTTCTATTCAGAATATACCAAGAAAGTAATTTCTAATAAAAAAACTAATTCTATTAAACTAGAATATGGAGAAGCATATTTGAAATAAAGAACTATAAAAAACAGAACTGCAAAGTTAGGATTCTTTAAAGTGAAGAAGATTTTAAAATCAATGATTATATGATTAAGGCTTTAAAATCAGATATTTTAAGATTCGAAATAGATTTAATAGAGTTTTAAACTAGAACAATCTTATAGAAATATGCTTATTTTGAAATCATATATATATAATTTTTAACCTTTAATATAGATTAAAGTACATTTTAGTGCATAGGTTCTTTTTAGTATCAGATAGCTTTATATATAGATTTCTATAATTATGTAAATAGTTTTTACTTAGTTAACAGGTTTTATATCTGAAGATAAGTTTTTATAAATTTTTAGAATAGTTTTTTAGACTTCTTTATAATTTTGATTATTTTCTTTGTGTATTTGTTTTTAATTTACCCTTTCTTGTTTGCTCTATATATCTTTTTTTTTTTTTTACTCCTTTATAAGAAAGTGTCATCAGATTGATGGTACTTTATTGTAGAGCAGTGATTCTGACAAGATTGGTAAAACTATCTGTTGATATCTGGGGCTTACATTTTCAGAAAATTGAGGATTTTAGAAAGAAAAAATATTTGCTTAAGCAAATCACTTCTGGGTTATACTTTAGTATAAAATTTTAATTTGACGTTATTTTACTGTGATAATAAGACAGATTGAGAAAATTTTTATTTGTATAGACATGAAGTATCTAATAGATGGAAGGTAGATTTAACCAATTAAATTTCAACTGTAATATACTGCCAATTTAAAAAATAAAAACAGAATCACTGAAGTAAAAAAAAAATAAAAGTAGTGACAGAAATTATATAATATCTTAAAAGAGAAGAGGTTTTTGATATCTTATGTTTGATATATAAATTTATAATAGCCAATCAAATTCCTCTTATATGGGGAAGAGAAAAAAAAAGTATAGTAAAAAAATATTACACAATATCTGTCATTACTCTAATATTGCTAATTAATTTCTTTATTTTAAATATTTTAACATTTTATTTATTTGTAAAATTTAAAATTATACTTATAAGCATTGAAGTTAACCAGGCTATTTTTATAAGAGATTACTCAAGTTTGGCCTAAAAAAGTTGAAGTTGACTAGATTACTTTTATAAAAATCAAGTTTTGAATTAAAATACTTAAATATGCTAATTTTATATAAAAACTTATTATTATATAAACTTTAAAGCCAATTCAGTTCGGTTATTTAAATTTAATAATTTAAATTTATAAAAATAATTTTTAAAATATCTTAATTTTTTTTTATTTGTATCAATTTAATTTGTAAGTATAGATGAAAGTTCATATATTTGCTTAACTTTAATAATTTATAAGGACTTACTTTTGTAATAATAATTAAAAAATCATATTCTAAGTTACGCCGGGTCTAGGTCTGCGTTGAGGATCCTTTTAAGTAAATCTCCAACTCATCAAGTGTAAACGGTAGTCCAGATGGCAATTTGTGCTCATATAATCGCATTATATGACGCGCAATATTCTCCATATGTGTACATATGTTAAAGAAAATTGCGAATAATTTAAATGATCAAACAATTATTTAATTATAAATAATTAAAGGATATCTTCAAGTTCTGAATCAAATAATTCCCACCATGCAGGTGATGTGGGTAATTTAACTTGAGCCACTCGTGCAGCTAACCAAATCACTGCGCATGCAATGGTTGGTGGTTGGTAACATACATAAACGTTTGTTCGTAACCTATATTTAAAAGATATTCAGAAATACATTTAACAGGTTTGTAAATGACAAGATTATGAAATTTGTTAAAATGTTTATACATGCGCGTCATTTAGATATCCCCAGGCTTTTTGCGGAATAGTTTCGTGTTCTGTAAGTTCCAATACTTTCAAATAATTTACCATTAATCCATATGGTAATTGTACATGAACATTAAACCCTAATTTTTTAAGTATTTGCATCTCTGCAACAGTTAATGCTTCTTTCATTTCATATTGCCAAAAAAATTCTTGAACTCATCAAAAATATGAGAATAAAAAAACAAATTATCAGCTTTACAAGTAACAACATAGTAAATAATTTAGATAATCAGATATGTCTAAATTTTC